ACTTCTGAAACTCCCAGAGCGTTCAGGCAAAAGAATGTCCTCAAGGATAATTTGTGGTGTGCTGTGGAGGGCAAACAGTAAGGCATGGGTCACTAGGGAATTTTTCTATAACTGGTTACACCATGCATTTGCCCCCAATGTGAAAGATTACCTAACTGAAAAGAAATTAGAACTTAAGTGCCTCCTGGTGTTAGACAATGCCCCTGGTCATCCTACAGACGTGGCAGAGCGACTTTATGGGGACATGAGCTTCATTAAGGTGAAGTTTTTGCTCCTAATACCACTCCTCCTGCAGCCCATGGACCAGCAGGTTATTTCCAACTTCAAGAAACTGTACACAAAAGCTCTGTTTGAAAGGTGCTTTGTAGTGACCTCAGAAACTCAACTGACTAAGAGAGTTTTGGAGAGATCACTTTAATATCCTCAATTGTGTAAACCTTATAGGTAAGGCTTGGAGAGGAAGTGACTAAGAGGACCTTGAACTCTGCTTGGAAGAAACTGTGGCCAGAATGTGTAGACAAAAGGGATTTTGAAGGGTTTGAGGCTAACCCTGAGATGATTATGCCAGTTGAGGAATCCATTGTGGCATTGGGAAAGTCCTTGGGGTTGGAGGTTAGTGGGGAGGATGTGGAAGAGTTGGTGGAGGAGGACAATGAAGAACTAACCACTGATGAGCTGATAGATCAACTTCAAGAGCAAGAGGCCAGACCTGGGGAAACTGGTTCAGAGGAGGGAGAGAGAAATTGAAGAAGTTGCCTACTACAAAGATTAAGGAAATCTGTGCAAAGTGGCTTGAAGTGCAAACCTTCATGGATGAAAATCACCTCACACAGCTATTGCAAGCCGTTGCTGGTGATTATTACACTGACAATGTTTGTGAAACACTTTAGGCAAGTCATAAAGGAACGAGAGGTACAGGCCACTATGGACAGATATCTTGTGCGAAAGAAGTCCAGTGACTCTGAAGCTGGCCCTAGTGGCATTAAAAGAAGAAGGGAAGTAACCCCAGAAAAGGACTTGCTACCTCAAGTCCTAATGGAAGGGGATTCCCCTTCTAAACAGTAAGAAGATAATGCTCTCCCCTCCTCCCATCCCATCAATCATCACCAGATCTTCAATAAAAGTAAGTGTCATGTAAGTGTGCATGCCTTTTTCAGTTTGTGTGTATTAAAATTAACATTTCATGTGGCAAAAAAAATTTTTTTTCATACTTTTGGGTGTCTTGCACGGATTAATTTTATTTCCATTATTTCTTATGGGGAAAATTCATTCACATAACGATTATTTCGCATAACAATTACCCCTCTTGCACGGATTAAAATCGTTAACCGGGGGTCCACTGTATTACGTTAATATACACATTTTCATTAATCCATCCATGATATTTTTTTCAAAATTATATAATAAACACGATACATAACATAAAAAGATGATAAATACACCCCACAATAGAATAAATAAACATAAATATGAGATGTGGTAGCAGACGACTTGCACAAGTGACGCCATATTAGAAATGATAATAATAATAATCACCGAGTCTCATTAAATGTTGTATATTACGTTAATATACACATTTTCATTAATCCATCCATGATATTTTTTTCAAAATTATACAATAAACACGATACATAACATAAAAAGATGATAAATACACCCTACAATAGAATAAATAAACATAAATATGAGATGTGTGTAGCCAGAGAACTTGTACAAGTGATGCCAAGAATAACATTTCTCTAATCTAACATAAGAGAAAATGTGTTACTGGGGGTAACTGTAGAAAATTATTCCTTTCGTATGTATGTAAGTTTATTCAGGTATACACAAATACAGTTACATAGATTATCATACATAACAACATATGTGTAGAGAACCTAGGATAACCCAAAAAAGTCAGAGTGACTTATTTCCATTGCCTTCACTCAGAGCATCATTTCTTCTCAAAATGATGTTACATGAGAATGGGAGTGTTCTTCTTTATTTATTCTACCGTATCAATGTAGAGACAACCTGTACACAAAGTAACTTGTACACAAACCAGACGTGTACACTTCGTTTACAAAACTTACCTTCGCCTGGTTTGTTTACATAACTCTGCGCCTGTCCTCTCTCATGCACTCATTCTTTCTCTCTCTCATTTATTCGTTTTATCTCATTTACTTACTCCTGACCCTACATTAAGACTACAAATATTTTAAGGTAAGTAATGAGTGAACTGTATATACATTTTATCGCTCTGGGATGCTTAAATATCATAGAATTATGTGTGGGTGAGGTGGCCTGGTATGGTAGCCTGGCTGACTACCATACATACCACACTTGATTTCTTACAATAAATACTACTTGTCTCACCCTAGATTAAGACTATAAATATTTTAAGGTAAGTAATGAGTGCACTATGTGTGTATTGTACTTTTTTATTGTTTTTTGATGCCTGGTTCTATTGCTAACTTAATATATGTTAGTGTAAACTTGTTATCTAGTGTTTGTATGCATTTGTAAGTGGAAAAAAAAGGGTGTTCCACTTTACGGCAGTTTCCGCTTTACGGCGGTAGCCTGGAACCTAACCAGCCGTATAAGTGGGGCCTTCCTGTATAAGTGGACCTGTGCAGTTCAAGGGTCATCTGTACTTAAATTCTTATGTCCTTGTCTCCAGAAATTAGGCACATTGCACAGATAGTTGTCGCCTTATGACCAGGTTAAGTTCCGACCAACCAGTCATAAACTGAATTGGACCAAGTTGGACAGGTATTGTAATTACATATTTTATAAAACTTCATATTGTTTTTCTTTAAAATGCGTGTAACACTGAAGCTAGCGGGAAACTGAGAGAAAGACGTGAGCAGATGCGCTCATGACGTTGTCGATGATGAGCAGAATCACTAGCATATGGCCTCATTTGTGCTGCCAGGCGTACGAATATTTATTGTCATAAGTGTGGAAGGTCATAAGTTGTACAGGTCGTAAGTCAATGACTATCTGCACTGTGTTGCATTTTCATAAATTATTTTCAGGTAGCTATATTACATGATAATGTATTGCATTTTCATAAATTAGATCCACTCATTATTTTATAACTAGACAAATATAATTTTATATTTATAATGTCCTAGGTAGTAGGTTGGTAAACAGCAACCGCCCAGAGAGGTACTACCGTCCTGCCAAGCGAGTGTAAAACGGAAACCTGTAATTGTTTTACATGATGGTAGGATTGCTGGTGTCCATTTTTCTGTCTCATAAACATGCAAGGTTTCAGGTACGTCTTGCTACTTCTACTTACACTTAGGTCACACTACACATACATGTACAAGCATATATGTATATACACACCCCTCTGGGTTTTCTCCAGTTTTCTTACTAGTTCTTGCTTATTTCCTCTTACCTCCATGGGGAAGTGTAACAGAATTCTTCCTCCGTAAGCCATGCGTGTTGTAAGAGGCGACTAAAATGCTGGGAGCAAGGGGCTAGTAACCTCTTCTCCTGTATATATTACTAAATGTAAAAGGAGAAACTTTCGTTTTTCCTTTTGGGTCACCCCGCCTCGGTGGGATATGGCCGGTGTGTTGAAAGAAAGAATTTATAATGTATCCTGTATCTTCTCGAAAATCCTGCTAATATGTGTAGACTCAAAAGTGATATATCAAACCATGTAGTTCTTAAGAACCAGAAATGTAATGTACGCATCTTATAGTTTATCTGATTATTGCATATTTTGTAGTGCAGTGACTGGAAATAAAGAATCTGAATGTGGGATACCTAAGAGACACTAGTTTACACGAGGGAGGGGATACCTAACAATACCTGGAGGGGGTTTCGGGGTTCAACGCCCCCGTGGCTCGGTCTGAGACCAGGCCTCGTGGTGGATCAGGGTCTGATCAACCAGGCTGTTATTGCTGGCCGCATGGAAACTGACGTACGAAGCACAGCATGGCTGGTCAGATACTGACTTTAGGTGCCTGTCCAGTGCCTTCTTGAAGACAGCCAGGGGTCTATTGGTAATCCACCTTACGTATGCTGGGAGGCAGTTGAACAGTCTTGGGCCCCCGGACACGTATTGTGTTGTCTCTCAGTGTATTCGTGGCGCCCCTGCTTTTCATTGGAGGAATGTTGCATCTCCTGCTGAGTCTTTTGCTTTCACAGGGAGTGATTTTCGTGTGCAAGTTTGGTACTAATCCTCTAGGATTTTCCAAGTGTATATTATCATGTATTTATCTCGCCTGCATTCCAGGAAATACAAATCAAGGGCCTTCAACCATTCCCAGTAATTTAGGTGCCTTATCGTACTTGTGTGTGCTGAACAAGCACTTGTTTACACTAGGGTGGGATACCTAACAAGCACTTGTTTATGAGGGTGGGGATACCTAAGAAGCTGAAATGGGGATACCTAAGAAGCACTTGTTTACATGAGGGTGGGGATAAATAAGTACTTGTTTAGGTGAGGGTGGAGATACCTAACAAGCACTTGTTTACAGTAGGGTGAGGATACCTAACAAGCACTTATTTATGAAGATGGGGATACCTAACAAGGCCTTATTTGTGGAAAAGAACACATACAGTTCAGAATATTTATTGAAGGAAACATTTTGTATAATGTACTGCACCATACACAAGTGTCCTTTTCCAGTGTGTTGGTATCACCATACCATTTACAACAAAGTTCTTGTTTATATGAGGGTGGGGATACCCGAGAAGGCCTAGTTAACACGAGGGTGGGGATATTTAAGAAGGCCTTATTTACACGAGGGTGGGGATACCTAGCAATTCTTTATTTACACGTGGATTATTCCTAATAAGGGAATAATCCATGGGGTACTGAAAAGCAGCAAAAAATAATGAAAAATGAAGTACAACAAAAAGTATCACAAACTGAGGCATTCAAGCATTGGTGGACAGCAAGTGTACCATACGGCAGAGCTCAGAAAAACACCTTAAAATTCTGAACAGCTTCTTATTAAGACTGTATCCCCAAAAACAATATACACAAGAAAAAGTCATACCAGAGTACAGATAAACACTGGTTTGCGTCCATACACATCAGATAATGCCCCAGTTATCGGTGAGGCTAAGAACTGGAGCAAAGAAAACAATGATCCCAACAGACCTGTGTGGAAAGAAGGCAATTATTTTTCAGTACATTACAACTTCTGGCTATCTTATATGTATTGTCATATTTATTGCACTGTATTTTCACTTTTCAAAATATAGCAAATCTAAGGATCTACCAAGTTTTGCAAAATTTTCAATTAGTCATGAATATAAAAGTAAAATTTCTTATGTAGAAAAGATAAAATATAAACATTTCCTAATATTAAACCTTGAATTAAACATGAAACTTCAACAACTAAATTAAACAAGATGGCTTGGACACTGAAAATAAAAGATACTGAAATTCTGAATGTCAGTTTTTTTTTTTTTTTAACAAGTTGGCTGTCTCCCACCAAGCCAGGGTGACCCAAAAAGAAAGAAAATCCCCAAAAAAGAAAATACTTTCATCATCATTCAACACTTTCACCTCACTCATACATAATCAGTTTTTGCAGAGGTGCCCAGAACACAACAGTTTAGAAGCATTTACATATAAAGATACACAACATATCCCTCCAAACTGTATATCCCAAACCTCTCCTTTAAAGTGCAGGCATTATACTTCCCATAATTTATTTCCAGTACTCAAGTCCGGCTATATAAAAATAAAGGGTTGCCCTGAATCCCTTCACTAAATATTACCCTGCTCACACTCCAGCAGCTCATCAGGTCCCAAATACCATTCGTCTCCATTCACTCCTATCTAACACGCTCACGCATGTTTGCTGGAAGTCCAAACCCCTCGCCCACAAAACCTTTACCCCCTCTCTCCAACCTTTTCGAGGACGACCCCTACCCCGCCTTCGCTAGATTCGGGATAAGTCACTCTCTCTGGAACAGATTAATTACATAATCCGGGGGTCCACACTATACATATTATAGAACAACAGTAATAAAAAAGATTTTGTATTGTTTGTGTAAACAAGTTTTGTAAACAATATATTGTTTGTGTACTTATAGTATTGTATACAAGTGTATATATGTACACTGCACCTTACTTTAGTCTCACAGGCCACATAAGTTACCTGAAAAAAAAAAAGTAGGGTAAAAGGCAAGAAACTTTTGAATGGGAATAAAAAAGAAGTGTACCGCCGCTGTTGCCATACACAACTCATTTTCTGCCAACTTTACGCCTCTATATCTCGATAAGTAATGATCACAAAAAAAATTTTTTTTAGGCCTAACCCTTTCAGGGTCGAGAGGCCCTCTCCTAAACTTGTTCTCAGGGTCGAAAAATTTTCAGAAAAAAAAAAAAAAATTCTTATGAAACGATAGAGAATCTTTTCCTGATCATAATGACACCAAAATTAAGAAATTTGATGGAAAACTTATGGAATTATGCTCTTGCGAAGTTAGCGGCCTAGACGATGTTTACGCATCGGCGATTTCGCCCACTTTGAGCCCTATTTTCGGCCAATTCCAATGTACCAGTCGACAAAAATCATAACTATTTTGCCAGAACTCCATTTTTTCTATCGAATGAGTACAAGAAACCATCCGTTTACCGATTTCAACTATCCAATAAAGTGGTCAGAAATTAACAATTCTGCCAATTTCACACAAAATTCAAAAGATGCTGCTTTCCAAACAGGGTCCAGAATAAACAAGGCAGACATTCCTGGCACTAAAATAACATTTCCTCTGTTCATTAGTCACATCCCCAGGTCCCTCTTATATTTCTTTTGCTTTCCTCTTTGAATTTTTATTCTCACAAAAAAATATAAGATTTACTGTTATGCAGACTACTGCATTAGTGTAGAAATGGTATAAATAGTATCAGTACATTTGTGAAAGAATATTAGACTCACCAGTTGACGTGTATTGGACGCGTGGCATGATTTGTTTACTTTTGAACTTTGGCAAAAATTGAACATTTCTGCTACTTTGAGCTCAATTTCAAGGTACTTTTCATTGTGAAACCAATCAAAATCATCTCAATTCCTGTAATATGTCTCCCATTCTATAAAATGAGACCAGGAAAACTAGAATACAACCATAAATAGCATACAAAAATACAGTGCAAATTCGCTGTTTTAAACCAAAAACACGGTCCAAGTTTTTTTTCTCATTACGTACTGTGTGCTGCAGGATTTTTTTATACTGCACACACTGACCACATAGACCCATTCTTTCATATGTAGGTCTACCAGCTTTCTCCCGCAAGATTGGAAGCCACTAGAATTTTGGCACAATATTATGGGACCGACACTGGCTTGCAAGCCATAATATTATGGGACCGACAGTTAACCCTTAAACGGTCCAAAGAAATCGACGTTCAAATTCGTAGAGCTACAAAAGTAGATCTACTTTTTTTTTTACATATTTTCAAATATAACAAAAAAAAAGTAGATAAAAATTTTTTTACACGTTTTCAAATGCAAAACAAAAAAGATCTACATTTTTTTACATACTTTCAGATGTTAAAAAAACGTATACAGTGGACCCCCGCTTAATGATCACCTCCCAATGCGACCAATTATGTAAGTGTATTTATGTAAGTGCGTTTGTACGTGTATGTTTGGGGGTCTGAAATGGATTAATCTACTTCACTATATTCCTTATGGGAACAAATTCGGTCAGTACTGGCACCTGAACATACTTCTGGAATGAAAAAATATCGTTAACTAGGGGTCCACTGTATATACGTTTGGACCATTTAAGGGTTAAAGAGTTAGGTAAATCCGTGTTAGATAAACTTAAGACTTTATGGGAAAAATAGTTATGTTCCTGGGATCCCTAAAAAAGCCAAAACTATTTTTAGACCTCCAGATCTTACAAAAATAAAAATGAATATGTAATTGTTGTTCATTGTTGTATGTTTTTATTGCTCAAGACTACAAATGCAACAGAAATAATAGTATTTCTTACCTTAAATTGTGGTTACTGATGTTTGTTGATGACTGTGAAACAGTGGAGAGTTATGATGTGGCCCTACTAGGCTGAGGTGGATGGTAGAGGTTCTGGTATTAAAGCCAATGATTGTACTGGAGTGTGCATAAATTCTGTAATGGATCTCTGGTTTATTGTACCCTGCAGTACATTATACAGCTGAAGGTAAGGCATCATCAGCTGCTCTAGACATTATGTCAGAACTGCTTCTAGATTAGTCAGGGTCATCTTCAGTGAAAAAGTAACCAAGTCAGTCAAGTCAAGTCAGTCAAGTCAAGTCAGTTTATTCAGGTAGTTGTGATCTGCGTGTTATTCTTTTCAGAAGAAAAGATAACAACACAATTCACAAACACAGCTAGCTCTGAGAAGAGTCGTACAAGACGCATATGCAAGGAGGACTGTGTCAGAGGTGGGTGGCAGGGAAGCTATGTAGGCTGTCCCCTCAGAGACAATGGCCTGGCCCAGAGCCATCCAGGGAAATACCCATGTAGTCCACTGCCAACACTCCAAATTTTCTTCCCCGCCCACAAACTGAACTTTGTTAAATCAATTTTACGAAGTGTTATACAAAATTATGCCACAATTTTTCAATAGTGTAACAGCCAAAATGTGGAAAATATATCTGTGTAATATAATGGTCTACTGTAATAAGATTTATAATAGTGAAGTAGCAAAAAACAAAATAGAATTACAATTAGTGTAATTTAGTAATGGGAATGGTTTTATCTTGGTATGCTACAATGTTTTTACAATGTCGAAAGCCCCTATATAAGCAGAGCATTACAGGCAAACTTAGGACTAACTTAAGATTAACCCTTTCACGGTCCGTGCCATAGATCTATGGCTTTACCTTCAGGGTCCAAACCGTACATCTACGCCATGAGCTCAGCTCACTCTGTTAAGCTGTGAGTGGTAAATTTGGGCTTAGATATGAGAGGATACATCTATGTGGTATGTGTGCACCACATAAAACAAATCCTGCAGCACACAGTGTATAATGAGAGAAAAAACAGACTGTGATTTTTTATTAAAGCAGCAACTTTGCAGTGTTTTTTCATATGTTTTTTATAGTAGTATTTGTGATTTCTTGGTTTCATTTGATAGAATGGAAGATATACTACAGAAATGGAGATGATTTTGATTGGTTTTAGTACTGAAAATGGCTTGAAACTGAGCTCAAAGTAGCGGAAATGTTAAATTTTTGTCGATGTTCAAGAGTAAACAAATGACCTCACACGTTTAATACACGCCAGCTGGTGGGTCTAATATACGTTCACAAATGTGCTGATATTATTTATACAGTTATTACAATATTGCCTAACAGTAAATCTTCTATTTTTTGGTTTGAATAAAAATTTATCATGTGAATAAAAAATAAAAATGGAATTCATTTGTAAAGCCTGAAAACATAACTAATGAACAGAGGAAATGTTATTTTAGCGCCAGGAATGCCTGCATTGTTTATTGTGGATCCTATTTTGAAATTGGAATATTTTGAATATTTTGTGTTAAATTGGCCAAATTACCAATTTCCGATTACAGTGGACCCCCGCTTAACGATCACCTTCAAATGCGACCAATTATGTAAGTGTATTTATGTAAGTGCGTTTGTACGTGTATGTTTGGGGGTCTGAAATGGACTAATCTACTTCACAATATTCCTTATGGGAAAAAATTCGGTCAGTACTGGCACCTGAACATACTACTGGAATGAAAAAAGTTCGTTAACCGGGGGTCCACTGTACTCTATTTTGTAGCTGAAACAGTTGACTGGGCGATTTCTTGTGCTCAATCGATAGAATAGAAGTAATACTAGTGAAATAGCTAAGAATTTGGTCGACTGGAGTAATGTAATTGGCCTAAAATGGGAGTCAAAGTCGGCAAAATCGCAGATTCATAAATATCGCTGACACATCAAAATTCGTGAGAGCATAATTTCGTCAATTTTCCATCAAATTTTGTACTTTTTGTTTTATTACCTTCAGAAAAAGATTCTCTACCATTTCATAAGAAAAAATAACAAAATTTTTTTTTTTGAAAATTCTTGGACCCTGGTGCACACTTTGAAATTTGGCCTCTGGACCCTGAAAGGGTTAGTTAAGAAGGCAATAAAAATTTTAGGAATTT